ATTGAAACAGATGGGCAATTTAGACGGTGCCGTGGGTGTCCTTAGGGCAGCTCTTACTATGAAGGAGAAGATATTTGGAGAGTATCACGGAAATACAGCAGTCACAGTACATATGCTCGCTACTGCTCTATCTGCGCAGGGAAATCACCCAGAGGCCCTCAGTACATACCAAAGAGCTCTACGTATAAGGGAAAAAGAGCTGGGAAAAAGTCAAAAAACCGCATCCACACTACACGGTATAGGTCAGGAAAAGATGTATCTTGGTGATTTAGACGGCGCAGTGGCAGACCTCAAGAGAGCTCTGGCTATGAAAGAAAGGGTACAGGGAGAATGTCATGAAGATACAGCAACAACGATACATGAGTTGGCACGTGCCATGTCAGCACAGGGACACAACAAAGAGGCCCTTAGAACATTCCAAAGGGCTCTAGAAATAAGGGAACGAGTGCTTGGCGAAAGTCAACTTACAGCGTCTACTCTTTACTCCATAGGTCACGAATTGGTGGTGCTAAGCAATGTAAACAGTGCTGAAGGTGCTCTCAGAAGAGCCCTGGCTATGCAGGAGAAAATACTCGGAGAACATCATAAAGACACAGCAGAAACGTTACATGAACTGGCATTTTGCAAGTCTGCACAGGGGAACCATAGGGAGGCCCTCAGCAAATACCAGAGAGCTTTTCGTATAATGGAACAAGTGCTGGGGGAAAGCCAAAGTACCGCATCTGCACTTCACGGCATAGGCCATGAAAAGATAGAGATAGGCGAAGCAACCGATGCTGTGAATGTACTCGAGAAAGCTCTGGCTATGAGGGAAAAGATACTGGGAAAATCCAATTATCAAACAGTTGCCACAAAATTTGAGTTGCTACGTGCTTCATTTATACAGGGAAGCCACGCACATTTACCACGTAAACCCCAAAGTGCTCGACGGATAAAGGAACACTACCTGGGTCGTGGCACAACTACGACATATGAACTTCCCAATGAACATTCAATGGAAGAAGATGGCACTGTAGACGATGCAGTGGATGGCCTGAAAACAGCTTTGAATGAGAAATTATATTAGTAAGTATGCAATTCAGAAAAGGTTATTAAAAATATTTTCCAACTTTGATGTAAGTTCCAAAGTTATGATAAAAGTAAGACATTAAAGTGTATCTTAAGTTTCACAGTCCCAATGTCTGATTTGCATGTTAATTGTATAGATGAAAATTAATATGAGGTGCATAACATAATTAAATACACATTATCATACATATCTACTCTGTTTCAGTACACGAGAGACGCAAGACGAATCTAAAATCCATGTAACCAAAGAACTTGTAAACGAAATGAAGAGGTACTTAAATTTTTACTCAGTTTGTTTAAATGGTTAGAATCAAAGATGTTTACATTATCAATAATAAAATATTCGCAAACATTGCCACAGAAAATGAACAATAATTTATCTTGTTTTTCATTAAATAAGGTACAAATGGCGCAATTTGGGCCAGTAATTATTTGTTTTTATGACGGGTGCACTTTAGAGCTCCCGTCGTTAATCAACGTAAATACTGACCTAAAAAATCAGATAATCATAGAAGGTGACAATATTTACTTAACGTTATTTCTTTAGACGTTCTTTGTGATTTTTTCAACCATTTTGAACTTAATAGCATTTATTTCTAAATGAAAAATTAACGAACTTAAAGTCAAAATTGTCAATTTTAGTACAAAAGGCGTAGTAGCAGTGGGTAGATGGGGTGACTATTTGCAGATTCATGTGCATGATGACGGTGCACCAAAGAATACTATTTCTGATGACGATTTAGTAAAGATATTAAAGAAACACAGGATTCGTGAAGACAAAATTCTAATCGTCCGCCAATCCCAACGACCACAACATGTTTTGTTCAGCGCTGCCCCTGCCCCTGGATCTAAAATTCACAGGAACAGCATGGATCACCCAAAATATGGTACTCTTGGAGCTTATGCCAGTCCCTCGGATGATTTGAAAAGTGGCTATGTTTTGACATGCTGGCACGTTACACAAAATTGCAAAGAATTTTACTTGGCAACTAATGGGCCAGAGGACACTGGAACAGCTGCAGCACCTGCAAATTGCATCAAAGGAAAGTGCGTTTTGCCTATCGAGCCTGGAGATCCTATAGGAAGCAAAATCGATCTGTCGATTATAAAGTTTAATGACATCAAAAAGAAACAGCAGGATGCGACTGCCTTGCAAACAATTCATGACGTTAATTCGCTCATTGGTAAAGAAGTGTTTAAAGTGGGTGCTACGACGAAGAAAACAACCGGCACAATCATTGGTACCGATTACTTTTTATTGGACGAACAAGAAGCAAGCGAAAAACTTATTTTAATCCTTCCAGATCCAGCGTGCACATCTACGAGATTTTCAAGAGGAGGTGACAGTGGATCTGTTGTACATTTGAAAGACAATGAAAACTTGGCTTCTATGGTTACTGGTGAACTTCAAAATTTTGATTATTATGATAATCGCTGTGAACCCCCCAAACTAATAAAGGGTGGCCCAAGTTTGACAACCTCGTTTTCGATTTACGAGGGGTTAATGGCAGCTTCGAAAAGAGAAAATAGACAGTGGTCAATTTTCAGCCCCACGGCATTCGAATGTGGCATGAATAGAGAATGCCCAGCATCGGGATCGCTTTTTGAAGCAGCAAATTCGTAATGGAGTAATGGAAATGATGAAGTCCCGGCACAGATGAAACCACCAATCCAAGAGTCAGAGGACATGTGCACAAAAAGGATTAATTAACTCAGAAATAGGTGTACTGATATAGCTGAAAATCGGCATGCATAGAGTATCATGCTGAATGGGTACTTACCGTTTCACAAATGTTTCCTTCCATTAAAATTTATTTTTATATAAATTTGAAAAGTTGACTGGAAAAATGTTATATATATATATATATATATATATATATATATATATATATATATATATATATATATATATATATATATATTCCTATGCCTAAGAAGCCCTGACCCCATCTTAATTAGGTCCTGGCTGGGCCAAGTTTTAATGGTGTCTTTGCATTGTTAACGGTATAATGGGCAAGTTAATTGATCAAATTAATTGGTCAAGCTGCCAGTTTGTATGGATTGTGTAGGGGATTTCTTAGATCAAAGCACATACCTGTATTATGAGACTTTTCCACGTAAACCTTGTGATCTTCATTAATCAAGCAAATTTTAATCAATCAGCTGTGAAAAACTCAGGTAGACAACAAGTTGCATTGACTGTGATCAGGCTGATCAAAACCATCTTTAAAAGAGATGAAATCTAGATAATTAAAATAACACACTAACAAATGGCAGTCCACCTTTAATTTAACATTTCTTTGGTTAATGTTACTAAACCAGTATACACGCCTTTTTCTTTAAACATTAAACATCTTTAAAAGTATCATCCTAAGATGTATTTTACAAATCACGGGTGATGACATATTTTACAAATCACAAGTGTTAATTTGTAAAGTGGGGGTGTGGGTGCCAGTGAATGGATTATGTGACGTGTATTTAAACGTGATCACTTTGTTAACAGTATAGCACTAGAAGACGTCTATGTTATACGTTGTATGAGCTATCAGACGTGTATTAACGTGATAATTTCTTTGAAGTTATTGCTGTTTTTAGTATTATTTTCATAAGTAAATACATTTTGTGTGTCCACGAAATGCGCCTGATGAAATCACACTGTACTTCAATAAATTTTGGAACAGATACATGAATAGCTATTATGCTGCGGGCACTTAGATTGGATTGAGATTGGAACTTTGGAAAAATATCCACAAATAATATTATGGTGACATGACAGGATTTTGGAGACCTAAAATGGGCGGTCTGGAAATATAATAAAAACTGACGTAAAACCTGGTTTTATGATAATTGACATGCGTATTTAATTTGTAGGCCAATACCAGTAAATATGAGGATAAATATCTATCAAAAATCAATCTGGATATAGAATGCGTCGAAGTTTTAGTAGTTGTCTTAAATGGAACGATATTTGATTGCCAATCAAGATGTAAGATGTGTTGTCGCTTTAAATCAGTGCTCATTTGGGTAATAAATGCTTATTAGCTAAAAGATTAATGTCTCTCAGATTTGAGGAATCAAACATGTACATGTGTACTTTGCCTACAAAATTAAAACATTACATAAAGTTTTTTCTGTCTCTATTTCCTTCTTTCTTTTCCCTTTTTTGAACTGTTAAATTACTATTGTAATAAAGATTTAAACATTTTTCTCCATTCCCTCTCAATAAGACATTCATATTTTGGCGATGTGAGTCGCAGAGCATTTGGACTTATGAAGTTGGTGGATCGTTATGTCATAACTGTAGGGATTACTTGATAAATGGGCTAATATCTTGTTAAAGAGAAAATGTTTCGGACTTACACAGACCGAACCACGTTTGTATGATCGACAAAGGTGAAATTACAAAATTTTACTACCATTCTGTGAGTCACGACAGATAGGCACCTATCATAATTCAGACCCAGAATAATTTAGCTAATAAAAATTCGGGGATATTCTCTTGACTTCCAGACTACCCGTATGTTCTAAAAGACCGAAGAATTTTGGACACCTTTAGATTTTTTTCTTATCTTCACAAAAACGTTGTTTGTGGCATTTTTAAGCTGGCTGTGCTCATATGGATTATTTTTCTCATCAGTCATATTTAACCACGCTATGTCCTTGTGCCGCTTCGTTTCGTACATTTGCACTCTGTGGGTCATCTTTAATTTTTTTTCTTTTTTATTAAAAATGACAGCCTTGTTAAGGGTGTTTCTTATCTGTCTTTATTCAGATGGTTTATTTTTTTACGACAGATAAGCACACTGTAGATGGTTAACCACCTCTTCTTCTGTTTCCCACCAGATATAAGCACATTGAATGACTTAAACATCAACTTTCCAGGATCTGAGGCTTTTTAGTTCTACTATTTGTCATTTCAATCCATTCAAAAACAGGACTTGAAAGAGTCAACAAGACTAGGCGCTTCCTTCGACGGCCATATTCTACTTCTACCAGAGGGGAATAACCATCAAGTCTGCGTAAAATGAGAACGTATATTTGGATACCAATTCTGGTTTGGTTAGCGGTGACAAAAGAGGCAGTTACATGTACATGTCAAAAAGTTGAAAGAGCAGGTAAGATGAAATAACTAGAAAACAATCCAAGACCGCAGATCATCGTCAGGGGCCCCTTTTTCACAAATAATCTTGGGAGAAGTGACCCAGCTGGGTCGACTACCCTGTAGCCAACTCGAAGTGTTTCTGTTCTAAAGAATCTTGTCTTAGCTCATAGTCAACGGTCGAGAAACTATTCACAATAGGAGGTGGAAAATCCAAAAGTTTTTTTTTACAAGACATGACGTTTCATGGCACCACGACCGAATGAGTTGATGAACAACAAAATCGGACGAAATATAGCAATGTTTTTTTTTCAAACTTTTTGATTAGTTTAACTTAAATACATGATTAAAAAAACGTGAAACGTCAGTTCGTCTTAGAATGCTGCCAATCGGACATCTAGCGGTGAACAGTATAAACAAACTGCGGTCAGCTGGGTGATGTTGCATTTTGTTTTTTATTTAAAAGTCAATAAATTTCAGTAAAATTCAAAGATATTATAGCACAATATCTTAAAGAAGGAATGTACTTTCGAAAATTCCACATTTCAAAAGAGATGCCGTCGCTGCAGGGGCCTAGCAATAAATCTCGGAACCGAGATTTAATCCATTTAATGGCGCGTGTGGAGGCGGGGAAGCCATCAGGAGTCAGGAACATCTCTTTGAAGTGTGGTCGGCCATATTTAGTCGGGCGGATCAGTTAGTACTTGGATCATCTATTCTGAATGGGGCCTAACTTGGACTTAAGGCACCTCCCATAGAGGCTAAGCTTTGTAGACCAGTAGTTAAGAAAACCAAAAGCGAGCGATCTTTTATATTTTTCGTGAAACGCGACTTAGTGACTCACGGACTTACGTTGTTAACCAAGCTCTAAGTCAGGGAACCCTATTTGATATTGTTGTGAAAGGGGGGGGGGGGTAGTGGGCGGATAATCGCCAAGGTAAAATAGAGTTTAACCTGTAATATTATATTAGCAGACCCAGATTGAGATGAAATTGCAATCACCTCCTGAATACCGAATCTATCATGACAGATGTGCAGGTCACAACTCACAACCTATCAATTCGGGTTTCATACACTGTAGTTCCATTACATATTTATACACGTGAGATTAATGGGTTATTTATAAATGGGATAGTGTTCAGTCTTTTTAAGAAAATCCAAGGCTGTAAGATAGTGTAATCCTAATATTATACATGCATATTGTAGACAAAAAAGTGCATGGCGACAAACGCTCTGCACTATACATGTACTTGATATTCCACAGATTGCTGTTGTCCACATCCAGACTGTGGCTCCATCTATCGGTCGGGCGTACATCAGAGCGGTGTTTACTGGCTCAGACCGTATGATAACAAAGGAGGGTTCTGGGCGTATTGTGACATGTTGACTGACGGGGGCGGATGGACGGTAAGAATCTCCCCCCTCTCTCTCTCTCTCTCACACACACACACACACACACGCATGCTGGCACAATAAATTATATATTTCACTTTTCTTATGATATTTGCTACAGTTTGTATTCATCTTAAATTGTCTTCTCCTTTAACACATGTAACTTTTATAGTACACTGTAAAAACAGTGTTTAGCACGTAAACACATTTCTAAGCGCCTGTTTTGTCTCATTTTTTCGACGCGTTTAGCTCCTATGCACGTTAAGATCCTTTACATGTTACACGCTTTGACGTGTTTGACGCCTTTTAAATGTAGGGTGTATTTGCTTATACCCCCTTTACACTGGACGGCGTTCTTTCTGCGTCCTTTCTGCGACCATGAAATTTGGCATCGTTGTGGTGTTAATAAGGAGGCACGAGCATTGATTTTGTATCAGAATGAATGCTTAATGATCGGCCAGTTGTCGGCACGTAAAGTATCATAATTTTTAACTCTCAAATGGGGCCGTACTGCTGGACGCAGAAAGGACGCCGTCCAGTGTAAAGGGGCCCTTAACTTTTAGGTGGTAAGGGCTTCAACTGTTTTAGTCACACGCGCGCGCGCACACACACACACTCGAATTTACGGTCACCTGTAACTGCTATAGTTATCTCTGTCTATAAAAGGGTACGGTGAACTATCAGCATAGTTCACTCACTTAACACATTTGCACATTTGCAGCGGAACTTATTCATCCTTGTGTTAGCTGATCTTGCGAGGAAGTTTATTGGAATAGATTTCTGAAAATCAAGTTAGGAAAATTCACTAGTGTGGAATCCTGCATAAATTCCACATTGTGTAGTCATAGTTAATCAACATGTTATTATCTAATTTGCGTCTGTCCTGTATACATTTAAATATTATTTTCTGTAAAGGCCCATAGGTAGGCCTATGCTTGAGACAGATGCATATCACCTGTTAATATTGCACAACAATTAGTATGTAAATAAGTAGCAGCCACATGTACACGTATGTAAATAAGAAGCAGCCACATGTACGCATAGATTCCCTGTAGATGATATGTATATAACTTGAAACTTGTCCATAATAAAGACTTTTGATCTGAGACTGAAGATGTGAGGTTGTTCTGTTATGCTTGTCTGTGCACGTAAAGTGAAAGACTGAGTCGAATCTGGAGTCATGTCGGAGCCCATAGATTAGTTAATTCGTTAATGGAAATTGATACACTGGAATTCAGTACAGTTATAAATTAAAGTTAAAGTCATTTTAGACGGTTCACAACACTAGTTTACTAAAAAACACAAAAAAGCTAACACTTTTACTTTAAAACATTTTTTTCATATTTTGATAAAATGCGTTACAGTATTGATGTCTATTTATTTTTTCCGGACAATAGAACAATAGAACACCTGGATGATGATGGGGTATTCATAATAATGGTTTATTAAAGCATTTATCGCATGCTGGTTATTTTGGTAACGATAGTCCGAATATTTAACAAATCGCACCGCTATAGTCGCCTACTAACCCCAAGCCCAATTTAGAATAAACCGCTAACTAGTTCATCCAGCACCAAGATGTAATAAACGGATAAATACGATCTTAGTACAGCATAAGACGTGTTTTGGTTATCTATAAAAAAGGTTTTCAAAACATTAAATATTGTTTTTCCAGAATGTTATAAAACGCTTATAAAACCGCAGGGGCATCATTTTGCATGGAGTTAAAAACACCCATAACGTAACCATAACGTTATTCTATACCATCACCGTCATGTAATCAGCTGATAACGTCGTGGATTTCTTAATTGGATTATTACTTAATATGCCTATTTTAAATAATCACACATTACTGCAAGGAAGGACACAACGCGTTCGAGCAAGCTGCTCCACGCCTCCTACAGCTCCATACGTCTACAAGGGGAAGTGTTAAGCCAAATTGTTGAGTCTTGTAATAATCTTGTTATGGGATCGTATACATGGGATTGTGAAGAATTTTTTTCTGTGACAAGCTTGAAAAGCTAAAAACGTGTTGTTCAGCAGCTCCACGCGTTTAGGAGTTCCACACCTATAGCAGCTCCATATGTTTAGCAGCCTCACGCGCCTAGCAGGGAAAGTACTTAGCCAATGTGCTTAGCTTGTGATAGACTTGTTATAGAATGCCGGTGTGGCGTGTACCGCCGGGAGCGTGAACCATCCGTTCTGCACATGCGCACTAAGCGCAGGCAAATCTGAGGGAGTTCCGGCGTGTACAGACCGTCTCTATAGAGTCGTCAATACATTCTTAGCCTTTAATAAACACGCGCTGTTGAGAACATACTGCAAATTCAAACATAATCTTCAGAAGTATTCATATCTTATAGACGTTCACCTCTACTGCTATTTCTCTCAGGTGGCAATATCAACACACTAGCCTAGTAAAATCAATACTAAAATAGTAGCGAGCAGCTGAATAACGACGGCCCGTCCACGGTAGTTTCATCTATGCGTCGAAATGTAATTTGATGCTGATTCTCTATCAAAATTATCAATTAAAACATGAATTTTTTCCCCATCATAGTTAATGTATAATGAGGTAGGAAATGAACTAGCCGAATATACCTGTAACAGTACAGGTGAATAACAACGGATCATTCACGGAACGGCTCATACACGCTGCTGTTGCGTGTACAATCGGTCAGGACGGATGGTTCACGCAGAACGGACCGTACACGTGACACCTGTGAAGTTAAACACATAGCTTAACGTGTAACACTGCCAACGTGTCTAGTTTTTTCTTCTGTGAAACGCTTGAAAAACTTTACGTGCTTAGCTTTTACACATATTTCTAAATGCGTATAGGTGCCGAACGTGTGTTGTATGTATTTAAATGCTAAACACTGTTTTTACAGTGTACAATGTATCATTAACTCATCATTTTTGGATATTGTCGATCTGAAAGCATAAACCTAAAAAGAGATTGGGTTTATGCAAGAGAGTTTACTTATCAACAGGTGTTCCAGAGACGCAAAGATGGTTCCGTTGATTTTTACCGTGGCTGGGAGGAATACAAAGAAGGGTTTGGATATCCCAATAGTGAACACTGGCTTGGTAAGGCTTTGTGATCAAAATAGAATCGGCTTTGAGAACTCTTGGTTACTTTATTATGGCACTAGGGAGTGCAAGGCAAAATTTAAAGCTTGATAAATTTTTTATTAACACAGGCACATTTTGGTCATGTCACCCATGGTTATTTCCAGGGAACGAGTTCCTCCACCGCTTGACGGGACAGAGGCTGTACGCTTTGAGAGTAGACTTGAGAGACGGTAACGGCACCGAAGCCTACTCCAAGTCCTCCCTCTTTAAAATCAGCGATGAGGCTGAGAAGTACAAGCTTACTTTGGGGGACTACTCGGGAACGGCCGGCGGTCCCATGACTGGTAACGGAAAACCTTTCACTACGAAGGACCGGGACAACGACGATCACGCTGGGAACTGTGCTACGATGTACAAAGGAGCGTGGTGGTACACAAAATGCCATGCTACTAACCTGAATGGGCGCTACTACAACGGACCGCACGACTCCTATGCTGATGGTGTGAATTATCAGCAGTTTAGAGGATACCATTACTCGCTTCCATTCACTGAGATGAAGATACGCCCAGTTGATTTTTAAAAAGATTATGTTACATGTTTGTACTGGTGACTTTTAATACGAGAAGTTAAATAAACGTTTTAGCAATAAACAGAAACATGATCACACTGTCCCGTACTGGAAAATGACCTAAGGCCTATAGTTTATCATAAATATCCAGTTGTGTTGTTTTCAAACCTGATATTGTTTTATATTAAATTCTGCTAAAAACCATCCCCAGCCTGTCAGCTGAATGTCAACACCATGTGGCGCTTAAGAATCACTGCGACCAGAGGAGAAGATATATCTTGAAAGCTCCTATGTAAGCCACAGTACTTGTACCAGTACACCGGTACCGTATGCGTCCAGTCTCTTCACTTCTGCAGAATCCCTAACGATAAAATTACAAAAATGATTTGGTATTTGGTCAGATACTAGCAAGATACTGGTACGATTTTGTGGCCTTTTTTGGAGTTCAAATTTGTTTTAACCCAGACAAATATTATTATTTTATTCTTGAAATAAAGTTGTGTAAAGAATTGCACATGATTTACACCGGTCTTCGTGTTCCTTTCATGCTTAATCCATCTCCATCTTGCAAACACTCTGCACTAGTTGCTGCTGCACATTTTCTGCAATTACAGAAACTCATTGATAGGGTTACAAAAAGAGAAAAGAGATAGTAGGCCCCCCTATCTTATGTCAACTTCAGATTGAATCTATCTCTGATTTGAAAAATAAGGCACTTTTGTGTCTTTAAATGTTTTCTAAATAAGGTGAACTACCCTGCAGACGACAAAGTGGTCTAGAAAAGTAAATAAGGTCTTAAAAACTTCGACTTCATGTGTCTACGACACAGATATTAAACAAAGGGCCTAGCGAAGAATGTTGGAATTGTAGCCGACAAGTTTTCTTTATTTATTTATTTATTGAGAGGGGTGGAGCGGCGGATCTTAATCTATTCTGTTACTTCCTTAAAACATTTAAATTGTGTGGATAAAATGAATCAGCAGCCAGTGTTAGATTGGAGAGGGAATGCAAAAATGTTGATGGGTTGCTTAATGTTGAACGTGCTCACACTTCCATACTACTCGCACACTGCTCACACTAGATACATTATATATTAGATACATTTTCCTGGTCGTTCACACTTGAAACTAACAATCAAATTTGAATGAATTTACTACACATAAACTGCATTCCGCATAAAAAGCCATCTGCAGAATAAATAAATAAATAAATAATGAAAATTCTCAACAGTCACGTCAACGCTGTTACTTTTCTAGACGGAAAGCACCCCCGTTTTCATTCATCTTGTTGCGTTTTAACGGTATCCTCCTCTTGGGATCCTGCTTATGAAGACTTCATATACTCATTTGGTGCCCATAGCTCGTGGTAGCAAAGGCTACTCAAAATTAAAACCACCCAGGTGTAAACTGCAATGAATCTCACCATTTGCTCTTCTAAACTTAATCTCGGTGTAATGATAATAAAAACATCCGTCGTCAGATCTGTAACCAACAATTTCAAAAGGGGGGGTATTTTATTTGAAAAAGTGTGCCTTTTTCCATGAAACCTTTGTGTACCTAGATATAATTTTACGTAGAGGGGACCTTTCCCAGCGAAAAGGGGAGTTTTTTTGCGAACCCCCCTCCCCATTCCCCCTCCCCCCGGCTACAGGCCTGCATGCTGGAAGTAGTGCCTTTCTTAATACTTAATGTGTAGGCTTATATAAAACAAAGCCTCGTATACAATGTACGTCTTGAACTTCATCGTTAATTGATAGATCACATTTGGAGACTGGCGTTGCATCGTTTTGAAAATAACGCATTGCTGATCATTATAGGAAATCCTGATATATGAAAATTCTCATACATTAATCAAGAAACTTAACATAAAATAGATATTAAAAAGTAAATAAACCCTTTTAATTTCGACAATACAACCTATCCATCACGCTTGAATTAAATTATGTTAGTACATGTAGCTGACCCGGTACGTCATCACGTACATGTACACCCGTAAACCGTGCTCGCTGAATTAAAAAAAAATTAAAATTGTCCATGTCTGCGGTATCAAATTCTTATCATCCTTTTGACAACCTCTTTTTACCACTCTCCCCTCCACAGCAAAATAAAGACCTCAATCCCAGCAGTGGTTTTAAACACAACACTACAGTGACATTTGGTGCAGGTGAAGATGGACACTGTGTCACTGTGCGTAGTCCATCTCGTCATACCGTTCAGTAGCATTCCATTGTTAAACATACCTGTAATACCACAACGTCATTCAGTAATAATGTAGTCGGCCATGTATGCAGTGCGCCTACTAACTACCTACTAAACATGCAGCTTTTCACACCACCCTCAATCTAGCGCCACAGGGGGGCGGCCGGGGAGATCTTGATGATTTTGGTGATAGATACAATTACTGCCCCATACCGCACTTACATATAAAGTGTATATGTGCAAGTACTGGTATGTACAGGTGCATAGCACACTACAGCGCGAGTGTAATATGAGTAAAGGTGCACCCCATGCATTTGAAAATTCCCCCAAATGCTAATTTTTTTGCCATCCACAGCTTATAATAAAACCTTGCATACATCTTGAAAGCGATTTAACACATGGAATATATTTTGAAGCGTACCTGATGTTAATATTTCAGTAGGAGTTTAAGATGGTTGATGGTTATAATGACTGGCCAGTAATTTTAAATTAAATCAGCCTTTATAAATTAAATTTAAGGTCGCACAATGAAACAATATCCTGTTACAAATGTTGGTAAATGACAAAATAATTCAATGCGTTGATGACTGATTGAAAACGGAGGGGCGAGTAGCTATAATCATGTACACAAGCCAATAGATAATCCAAATATTAGTGAGATTATAACCTCATATATGATTGGTAAATATCAATGTATTCAAACACCCACTTTTCCTACTCATTTTCCCTCCCAATTAAACCAGTGTAACAAGCAAAACAAAGTTATCCCCCTCCGTCCCCATGGTCATCGTTTCTATTACAGTACAATCTTTCTTGTGCACTTTAAATTTAACCAATGTACACATGTATTCATTTTATTGGATTGATTGCTATGAAGTTCTACGAAATTGATTACAAGGTGAATCAGTATGCATCTCACCTATCACAATCGGCAGCATTGTAAATCAGTGGACGGCACAACTACCGCACTGACCCATGGAGGTCAGGTTGAGAAAAAAGAGTGCACATTGAACAAGGATATGACATCAACTGCAGTTTAGATTTGATATCATACTATTTGTTATTGCATATCGAGATTTCAGTCATGGCGTTGTGAACCGCGAGATAAGCCATTACATTGATAAATATCTTGCCAGAATTTCTTTAATTACATTTATGTGCTTGTACATGTATATTTTATTTTCTTATTTTTCTTTAAGTACGATCTGCATTTAATTTTGCTAGGAGACCAATTTAATTTCGCATATATATATATTTTTGAATATTTTCTGGTCTTAAGTACAATCTGCATTTGCTTTTCTTATGAGATCAATTACATTTAAAATTTTTTTAATGCTCTTTTTACTATGAACTAGAAAAAAATCCCTCTAGTACTAACAAGGATCAAAATACAGCGCGTGACTTGTGCAATAAGTAATACACTTTTGCGTCTTTGTGAATGATACTGAAAACAATATACCGTGTACATAATCACGACCTCATTTTAAATCAAATCTACTTATTACATTCTAATCCACAGTGTTCTGAACATGCGTAAACTCACTGTCGATAAAGTTTGGGACGTGATAAGCTCAGCGAAAATGAGTGTATCTACCGTGTTTACACACTGTGATTGTGAATTATTGATTGAAAAAAAAAAAGATGCACGACCAGTCCCATTTCTATTTCACCATTATTGTTATAAGCTGCTCCTTGTGAGATCTATTAAGCGCGACAACCGCTGTATGAAAAGAAACTGCAGAGGGGCGCTTTTTGTTAGACTGGGTATCTATGGATACAAATGGTGTTAACGTAAGCGCAAAACATGCTCGTTTCTATGTATTCTGCAAAGGAAAAATAGAATCGAGCTGCAGGTATTTACTCAACTGCTTTGTTGTGGGTCTGATGTGTCACGGGGTTATTTTTTAGCTGTTATCGAGCTGACGGCTGTTTCTCCAGCGACAGTGAAAAATTGCGCAATAAGGTTGGCAACACACTTCCACTGAAAGAACACTGGGGGTGGGGGGGGGGGGGGGAGAAGCAGATTTTAAATGGTCTGAGGATTGTTGCAACAGGAAGATCTACTGTAGAACCTCCGAAGTCTTACATGAAAACTACAATCAACTGAACTAGACAGGGATCTTTTAGCACCATGCGATGTCAAATTATACTTTTGAAAAAAAATACAGCTACATGTAGTATATGCGAAGAGCGATAGGTTTGATTATACCACTCTTCCAAGAACACTGATCAGGGTATTATCTTTATGAAGGGGTACCGAATAAAAGGAAATAAAAGGAAGAGGAAAATGTGGTACAGGGGTCTGTTGGAAATAGCTGTTAAGTCTTTTTTTTTTTGTTAGAAAAAGAGATATATTTGTTTAAACATAGTGATCAGAAATAAATATGGTTGGGGTAAGGGTATCGACATCTTTCACGTTGCAAGGATAGATAGCTTTAATTTTTGGAGGGAATGACATGGACTGGGAAATACATCGATAATGAAATGTCAATATATCATTAACAATGATCAGGCCCCCGTTTCACAAAATCTTAAATCCGTAGTTGACTAGCTCGAGCTGGATGACCTAGCTAGGTCGACTACGCTGCAGTCGACTAGGAGTGTTTCACAAAGAATCTAACGTCTTAGCTTGGAGTGCTTACCGTAGTCGACGCTCATGAGAAACTCTTCAAGAAAAGGAGGTGTAAAATTCCAAAAGTTTCACAAGACATGACGTTTCATGGCCTCTTTCGGCCGAGAACGATCGTTTATCAACAATAAAAAATCAGCCAAAACACAAACAAAGTTTGTTTTTGAAGTTTATTGATTAGTTTAACTTCAATACAGCTTCAAAGTAACAGTTAAACATTACATCTCGGCAAGCGATACAGATACCAAACGAGGAGGTGCCTCTTTACGAACTTGGGACTCTGACAGAAGATAACTCTATTATTGTGCTGCAGTCTATTTCAAAACATTTGAGTCGTGAAGACGGCAGTCAATTGGCTGCAGAATGTGGCTTTGTCGCTCTGCTGCTCCATATTCTTGGATACTTATTGCAACAAGGTCGTAGGGCGCTAGATATAATCGCTGAACTTACTTCAAAAACTGTATTTGACTTGAAATGTTCATTCTCAATGCCCGAGAGCCTAAACGCCATAGCTTGCATTAACTTGTCTTATAAACAATTGGGCCAGGAAATGGAAGATGCAGTCCAAATCCTATCTCTTTTTCCAACAAGTTTTAATGCACAGGATGCATTTAATCTTTTAACTAAACATCAAACTAGTTTTAACATCATTGATGAAAATTGCAAAACACAAGCCGAAAATTTTACCATGTGGGATTGCCATAATTGTCTTCAAACCCTTTGTGATGCTTCGTTTCTAGAGTATGATGCAGCAAGTGAAACGTATGCCATGCACAACATTATACAGGCATTTGCACAAAATCAAACTTCACAGGAAAACTTAGATCGTTTCAGAGCGACTTTCTTGGCATTTATGGAGCATCTGATTGATCAGATCCACACACTGGCTATAGCAGAAAAAGGTCGCGGGGCATCCACTTTTTTTGAAAAAGACAGAGATAATCTTTTGGCGTGTATCGGTTTTTTTGAGGCATTGCAACCGGGCTCAAAGAAAGCCACTTACAACATAACGAAAAAAATAGCTTTCAGTCTCAGACAAATAGGGAGGTTCACTGACTCTATTAGATGTTTCAAACAATTATTAAAATTCACTAAAGAACAAGGACAACAAACTGAAAATTCCGACCTAGCATTCTTCCATTATAACATAGGTTATCTACAGGGGCAACTTAGTGATCCTCGTGCCGCTGTTGAAAATTTGTCCATTGCAATAGCCGAGTATGAGAAGCAGAGAGAGGGTTGTGATTACAAGGATTATTGTAAGTCCTGCTATAATTTGGCACTAATGCTTGACACAAAAGAAGATTATGCACGCTGTTTGGACATACTGAAAAAATGTTTTGACGAGGCCACTGTTAACCATGATTTAAGTATGCAGTATCTTGCACAGGGCACCATTGCAAAAATCAAAGCCAGACAAGGTGACGAAGAGGCTGTTATGTCGACTTTGCACGACATATTAAGGTCAAATCCAGAAATGGACGGTAAGGAAAACGGAGTAGGTGTGGAGGCCTTGCACGAGGCGGCTTTTGCTTTGGCTGGCATTGGCAAAAAAGAGGAAGGTTTATCTTTTTGTAGACGGGCAGTTGCTGTAGCCAAACACTGCTATGGCGATCACCCTGAAACTGCCATTGTTCTCGGGAACTTGGGTTACCTCATGGTTAACAACGGCAAAGAAGACGGTGCCATAGCTGTCCTCGGGGAAGCTATAGCTATGAGAAAGAAGACACTGGGAGATTACCAGACAGATGACATAATATTTCATTTAGCTTTTGCAAAGTCTGCACTGGGAAACCACGAAGAGGCCCTCAAAAGATACCAAAGAGCTCTATGTATAAATGAACAGGTTTTGGGTGGAACACACGATCTTTCCGGTGTAATATACGCTATTATAGGTTTTGAAATGAAAGAACTGGGCAATGCAGATGGTGCTGTGGATGCCTGTAGGAGAGCTCTAGCTATAATGGGAGAATGCCACGAATATACAATACACACAATGATTTTAATGGCGCGTGCCCTAACTGCACAGGGAAATTCCGCAGAGGCCATCAGTACACTCCAAAGAGCTCTTCATATACAAGAGAAAGTACTTAGTGACAGTCAAAGTACGGGTTCTATACTACATACCATAGGGTATAATTTGATAACACTAGAAGATGCAGATAGTGCTGTGGATGCTTTCAGAAAAGCTCTGTCAATGCAGGAGAAGGTGCTGGGAGAATATCACGAAGAGACAGCAGCTACACTATGTTCCTTGGGTCGCGCCATGTCCGCACAGGGAAAGCACGCCGAGGCCCTCAGTGCATTCCAAAGAGCTCTACATATACAGGAGCAACTTAAGGGTGAAACTCATGATACTGCCTCTACCGTTCATGATATAGGCATGGAAATGATAAGGCTACATGACATAAATGGTGCTACATCAACTTTCAGAAGAGTAGTAGCTATGATGGTGAATATTGTCGGAAAATATCACGAAGAGACCGCGCAGCATATTTTTTTGCTAGCCACTCTCCTATCTAAACAGGGAAAGCACGCAGAGGCTCTCAAAACATTCCAAAGAGCTCTACGCATACAGGAGCAAGTGCTAGGTGAAAGTCGCCAAATAGCGGATACATTACATTGCATAGGTCTTGAAATGATTACCCTGGGAAAAGGAGATTTTAGGGATATCTTCAAGAGAGTTCATGCCATTAACGAAAATATGCAGGGAGAATATGAGGGAGAAAAAGAAGACAAAATAGAGAAAATGCTCGAGTTAACAAGTGCCCTGTCTAAAATGGGACTACACTCAGATGCTCTTAATTGTTACCAAAAAATATTGATTTTAGCCGAGCGAACTCTGGGCGAAAGTGAAAAAACAGCTACTACACTGCACTACATAGGTTTGGAAATGCTAATGCTGCGCAATCCAAATGGTGATGTGGGTAAACTCAGGAGAGCCCTGGCTATAAGAGAGAGAACATTGGGAGAATGTCACCTACACACAGCAGATACATTACACGTGCTATCCTGCGCTTTGTGTATGCAGGAAAAACACGCAGAAGCTTTAAGTGCACTGCAAAGATCTCTTACGATACACGAAAAACTGATGGGTGAAAGTCGCATTACAGCCCAAATACTGCACTTCATAGGGATGGAGATGATGAGAATAAAAGATACAGACGGGGCCGTGAATGCCATCAGGAGAGCTTTGGCTATGAGGGAGAAGACACTGGGAGTTGATCACAAAGATACAACAGATACAATATTTCTTTTGGGTCTTGCCATATCAGCACAGGGAAACCACGCAGAAGCCCTCACTACATACCAGAGAGCTCTAGGCATACAGAAGAAAACGATGGGTGAATGTATAAGCACAGCTACTACACTGCACTGCATTAGCCATGAAATGCAAATGCTGGGTGATAAAGAAGGAGCTATGATAGTAGTCATCCGGGCAATAGTTATGGGAATGAAAATCATTGGAAAAATACCACAATGAGAAAGAAGTCGCAAAATATGAATGTGGTCTTGTAGTAAGTGGAAAGGAAATCTATTCAGAGGTCCCGAGAATAGGCACATACTAAACAACTTCACATATATTGGATTTTCTTTAATGAAAGTTTAACATTTGGTATCTCTACATTGAACCTTGTGTACATATATATATACGTCTGGGATGACACTCCTATTAGTATCGTCCTGAGATGTACTATAGACGTGGACTGACCATTCATTATGCTCTGGGAGATAAGAAAATCACAAAAAACATTTCACCATAATGGAAGGCAAGCTGGAACATAATGAGAGCGACGGGTTAAAAGCTATTGGAATTTGGAAACAGGCAAATGATTCCAAAATTAAAATCGCCGATCCTCTTTATAAGTTCTTTTTAATGATTTTTTTATATTCAGGATACCTGTGTGAGGTATTTGACGTGTATATAGAGGTAACATTTTCAATCACATGTACATTTACTTTGGGTCAAATATTCACCTCGAATGATGTATTATAGAGGTAACAGTATGGAAGTCTAATGCACCAGTCAATAGAAGCTCCGCCCCGACCCCAACAACACGCCAAGGGAAGCTTATGTCTTTCTGGTTATTGATGCATCACTATAATACCGTACCCTCTACCAGGGCGAGTGATAGATTTTTACAGATATTCACAGATATGTCTCTAGCTAGATAGATGTTCATTTAAAGCTGAGTTGAGTTTTAAATGAACATCTATCTAGCTAGAGACATATCTGTGAATATCTGTAAAAAAAATCTATCACTCGCCCTGGTAGAGGGTAATAATACCGGTACTCTATATAAACTGACAGTCCTGTTCTTGCTATATTGCTTTGCTTGTAGATTTGTATGTGTTTTACTGACCGTATTCACAACAGAAGTTGATCCACAGACTATCAGAACTGCGGATCAAATATGGCCGACCTACTTAAAAAAATTACCTCTCAAATCCCACGAAAAATCTATTCAGTTTCTACAGACTTGACATTTNCTCTCATTCAAAACGGACTGGGTGGTTATGGTTTAATTGCGGCAGCATATCCTGAAGGACAGTGAGTCCTGTACCCTGGTGGTAAGACGTCAATGCATTGGGCGTGGTCTCTGTGCAGGTACATCAGTCTGGGCATTACTCTATAAAACTGTATAGACCATTCCGTTTGACACAATAATTTGTCTGGCAATATCTTTGCTTTTCGCGCCATTCTGGCACAGCTTAACAATTTTGTAAAACACTGCTTACTTCATTTTACGCACTGCAAAACGGACCGTTTGCATACAAAATTTCAAATTCTTCTATGCAGTAGTTGCCGATATATGGATACTTTTTTGACAGAACCATGCTTCGCCAAAGCCAAGCTTTGACCAGCCCAAAGGAGCACTGCCCAATTAAATCCCTGCATATTACACAAGGCAACAGAGCAACAAACTTGGTAGTCAGTTAATTGGCAGCGACACACCTGACTTCACACTTCTCCAGTCAGATGTCCTTTATGAGATCTGAATTTTTTGAAAAAAGAACGCATTTTTACCTAGGTATACCTTTAAAACTGAAATATTCCATATTAAATGTCAAGTCTGTATTAGGGGATTTTGCTGCAAACTTGTTAGTTCACGGATCAATTTGTTCTGAATGCTCCGATTTTGTGAACTACTAGTTATCGTGCACCTGCATGTGCGAGAAAGGTAAGGAGGAGCGATGACACCTAAAATGGAGATTGGTTTTTTAAATACTTTGGGACTAATATCCACGGGGTATGTGATTTTGAGATGTAGTTCGAGAATGAGATCAGAGAGGGGAATGTTGAAAATAACTTCTAATTGGTAGAGAGAGTGATGTCGTGATTTACGATTAATATGTATATGTTTCCAATGAGTGATTTAGATTTAAATATTGTAGTCATTTTAATGATTTTAGTTATAATATCCATTTTGTAAGGCGCCATATAAGAAGCTTATTATTATTATTATTATTATTCTATGTTGGTATTGACCACTTATACATATACTGAATACTTGTAAGGATTAACGTAGATGATAATTGAAGCAGAACGTTACAGGGTTACTTTGATATCAAACTATTTTTTTTATTTTTCTATCTGTATATAAAGAAACAATACAGCATTACTCAACAAGACTAAGATACCACTTTAGAAAAGTGTAAATTTGTCCAATAATTATAACATATCAGGCTCCTATAGCCAGCAATTTCAAAATGGGGCTTCCTTTTTCTGAAAAAAAAGTGGACCTTTTGCCGTGACACTTTCGTGAACCCAGATAAAATTTTACCCAGCGGGAACCTTTTCCCACCAAAACGAGTGATTCTTTCGAACCCCCAGAACCCACTCTGGCTATGGGCCTTTATTTGTACATGTAGATGTATGTGTGGGTGTCAGTGTGCGTGACGTGTACGTATTTCAACGTAAATATATGTTGTTGACTGTGCTGTTGCACCGCCGGTATAAGTAGAAGTCTTTGTTATCAGTAAATGTTTAGTGTGCATCAAAAAAATGCAAAAATGCAATCACACTCCATTCAATAAATTTAAGGACTGGCAGTTGCCACGAGGATGGAGATTAACGATGCAATCACACTGCAATTTAATTTATTTTGGGACTGACAGTTACCCCGAGGAAAGAGATTTAGCTGCAGCCTTAGAGTGAGATTGGAACTTCGGAAATTTATCCACAACTAATGTTTAGTGAGATGACAAGATGAAGACAAACTGGGCATTCTTGAAATATTATCAAAACTGAAAGATAATTATTATGATATGTTTTTATTTAATTTGTATGCCAAAACCAATAAATAGGAAGACAAATAAAAATAAGAGAACATGTCAAAATTAACCTGAATAAGCAGAATATGTCGCAGTTTTTCTCTCTGCCTTAAAAGAACAATGTACGATGTCTGCAAAAGACGGAAGTTGCGTGCTGATTTACATAATAAATTCATGTGATTTTATCAATCAGCTTCGTGTTTTTTATTTCTAGTTGTTCACAAAAGTTGATTCAGACTTTTAATTTATACATGAAGTTCGCTTTCAAAATGAAAACATTAAAGATGTACCCGAAACAACATGCGTGTTTGTTCGGAAAACCTTATTATTTTTTGTGTACTTTATTTTTTCTGACACTTTATTTATTCACTTATATAATGCATTTTTCTGACTTTTCTATTCTCAATTCCATATTGTTCTTTTCTTTTTGTCTTTATTATAATAAATTTAAAGTTAAACTTTTATCTCCCTTAGCTTCTTTTTACACTGTAGTGTTTGAGCTTTTAAATCACTGTTTTCATCAAATTCCAATATTTTTCTACATTTCCCCCTCAATGAAACATTCATATTGTAGCGTGCTCTCCCTAGTTTCTCTCCCTATAATACGAGTCCGGCTCTCTGCACTTATGGTAAGTGGCGGGCACAGTAACATAACTCGGCCCTCAGAAAAAGCTGGATCACCACGGTCTCGGCTCGGCTGTATCTACTGGATACCCGGCTGTCTCGGCTGGAAACCACGCTGGCAAGTCGTCTCGGCTAGGAACCCGGCTGGCTGGCTGGCAGGTCGTCTCGGCTAGAAACCCGGCTGGAAAGTCGTCTCGGCTGGCGGGTCGTCTCGGCTGGAAAGCAAAATCTCTCTAGTGTGAGAGCACACCTCGGTTAGCCTCATCGGCGTATTACCATGCAGGTCGAGAGAATCCTCTAGTAACTACAGAGCTTCGGTACTGAGAGCCGTGGTGAATCTGACACTGGAAGTATCTGACTGCCGCATTCTGCTTCTACACCCCCTTTTATATGGGCGTGTGCCATATTTGATTGTGAGTAAAATTAAGGCATTCTTCAGTTCGTCAATTACTAAAATTCAGCAAGCCAAATAATGGTGTCCTTAACGGCAATTATAAGAACAACATAACTAAAAGTCGATTTCAATTAATTAAAATAACCGTGAATTGGCCTCCAATTACAGTTAATGAATCATTTTAATTACATTACATAACTTCCTGTTATCGAGTGATATCAGCGGCGAGTAGTTTTCCATTTTATGGGGCTAAAAGTTCGTCAAACGTTACAATATTTTGGGTGGTGGCTGGGCATTTGAACCTTTAAAGCTGAGGTATCAATATGTTAAAACTAAATGGATAACTTGAAAAAATGGGCTTAAATCTTGATATAAATAATATGCTTTGAACTTACACAGAGCGAAACACGTTTCTATGGATGAACAAAGACAAATGTGCAAAAATTAACTACCATTTTCTTAGTCATGGTAGATATCATGTATTGCAATCCAGTTCACTGATTTATACTCATCAAGGCATCCTGCAATTTGGGGTATTGAGGCCAACTTTCGGCTGCATTATTTGTTTTTGAAACAAAACCCAGCACAGTTTAGTTCAAACTCCGCAAAATTCTCTTGCCTTCTAGACCTTGTCAGAACGGCTGAGAATTTTGGACACCTGTAGAATGTTTTTTCTTTTTTTTTCTTGATAAAAACTTTGTGGCATTTCTAAGCTATCTGTTCTCAGCTGGATTATTTTTTCCCATCAGCCATAAAAACCACGCGATGTCCTTGTGTCGCTCCATTTCCGATCACAAATCGTACAGCTGCACTGTGTGGGTCATCTTTGAAATTCTTATTTTTTTAATGACAGCCTTGTTTAGGCTCTTTTTATCTGCCTTTCTTCAGATGGTTTAATTTTTTTTACGACAGATAAGCACACTGAAATTGGTTAACCACCTCTTCTTCTGTTTCCGACCAGATAGAAACACATTTAAAGATCAACTTACCAGGATGTGAGGCTTTATAGTTCTATTATTTGCCATTACAACCCATTCAAAAACAGGACTTGAAAGAGTCAACAAGACTAGGCGCTTCCTTCGACGGCCATATTCTACTTCTACCAGAGGGGAATAACCATCAAGTCTGCGTAAAATGAGAACGTACATTTGGATACCAATGATGGTTTGGATAGCGGTGACGAAAGAGGCAGTTACCTGTACATGCCAAAAATTTGAAAGAGCAGGTAAGATGAAAAATAACAGAAAGCAATCCAAGAGCGAAGACCACCGCCAAGAGAAAATGTAGAAAAACCTGAAATAAATAAACAATAATAATAATAAACGTCAGACCTAGATTTAAATAACATTGCAATTAATCACCTCTTGCATAACGTGTCTATCAGGGAAAGTATATAAGTTACAATGCTCACTTCTTTAAAATTGAGATTTTTTAGGTTTAAAGAAAGCTACAGTAAATATATTGACGTACAAAGACATAAATTTGTGCTTAACTGAGTGGAGGAAAGTATTACAAGTCGCAGACGGGGTGCTGTTTCTCCTATAATTTCCTACGTTGTTTTTTTACAGTGACTGTGTGCGGCCTGATGTCATAGTATAACCTTGTTCATTATTACGTTTTTTAAAATGAATTTCATGTTATCAAATCGCACGCCCTTTCGGGCATGCGAAGCTATCTTGACCGCAAATTTCGTTTTCAACCTCGAGACGAGATCAACAAAATTACTTTGCTTGCCAAATTAATACCTGTATGAACCGTGATTCGGTAGCCATTTTTTTCATCAAAGGAAACTCCAAGAATAACAGTTCAGAGAGCTTCCTATACCGTGATTGCCTGTGAAATGACACCGTATGCCAAGCATGGCACAAAAAAGAGTTTCTTTTTAATTTTGGTGATTAACATTATAAACACCGCTATCAAAGTGCTTTGTACAGGTATCACCCTGAATGAACGGAGCACCTGTTTCTATAAATTTAAGAATTCATTCCTGGCTGTTCTAGTATGAGCAGCATGCATAGACGAAGATTGTATACCCATCTAATGTCCATTTGTGGTATCTTTCGTCACATTATGTAAAACGAAGGTCCCTACGATACGTAAACAAGAGTTTGAGATGCTTTTAACATATACACCAGGCTTTATTTCTTAAGACAACATGTTAAGAAGAAAGTCAATCGAGTATCTTGTCTTATGCCAGGCCTTTTTGTCTATATTTCCCAAAGTTTCCATCTCAGGTAAGAGCTAACTTATGGCACTTTTAAATATCAAAGAGGGTGGGTTCTCTGCTTAATCATATGCAGGTTCATAGATGAGAAGAGGGGAGTTTCTTTGACTTTAAATATCTGTAGACATGCAGGTACATGTACAATGTACAACCGGTAGCCATTAAATGTACTTACTTTAAAAAGGCTTCTTTTTATTTACAAATTAAGATTAGGTCTTTGATCAATAACGAATTAAAATCTTCGTAAAAAAAGTGAAAGATCCGCCCCCTCTTCAACCAAATTAATTTCATTTGAATGTGAACATTTTTTTTTTCTTATTACCCCTTCCCGTGTGCGCAAATAGTGGATTTATAGAAATGTTGTGTTTTGCTTATCCTTGATTTTATAGTCAAGGGTATTCACTTATCTAATTTTATTAACTAATCTAGCTGAATTATCTTATATTTCTGTGAGTGTGCATATGTGCAGTTGCATTTGTTTGTGTTCGTGTGTGTGTGTGTGTGTGTGTGAGTGTGTGTGAATTCCCGTGGATGAGTTATCACTCATTTGCGTGCATGAGAGACAAATATATCAATAAACGCACTGCATTATCAAATAACAATCCCTCGTTCCCACGCAGATTGCTGTTGTCCACATCCAGACTGTGCCTCCATCTATCGGTCGGGAGTACATCAGAGCGGCGTTTACTGGCTCAGACCGTATGATAACAAAGGAGGGTTCTGGGCGTATTGTGACATGTTGACTGACGGGGGCGGATGGACGGTAAGACTCTTTCTATATTTGTGTGTCTGTGTGGGTCTCTTCTCTCATTCACGTGAATATCCATACACGCATGCGCGCAATTAATGACAGATTAAAGTCACTTAATGATAATTAATGATATTAATGATTAATTAATGATATATATTCCTTTTTTTAATAGACAAGAGAAAGGATGTTTACGGGAGATGTTCCTTATTTACAGGTGTTCCAGAGACGCCAAGATGGTTCCGTTGACTTTTTCCGTGACTGGGAGGCATACAAAGAAGGATTTGGATATCCCAATAGTGAACACTGGCTCGGTAAGGCTTTGTAATCAAGAATGACCACTCCTAATTATGGTGTGAAATACATTCTGCGCATAGGAATGACAAGCAAAATTTAAAGTTGGATGAATTTCTAATTCATTTCAATTATTAGATTTGTTAACTTATGGTTATTTCCAGGCAACGAGTTCCTCCACCGCTTGACGGGACAGAGGGTGTACGCTTTGAGAGTAGACTTGAGAGACGGTAACGGTACCGAAGCCTACTCAAAGTCCTCCCTCTTTAAAATCAGCGATGAGGCTGGGAAATACACGCTTACACTGGGGGACTACTCGGGAACGGCCGGCGGTCCCTTGTCTGGTAACGGGGCCGCGTTCAGTACGAAGGACCGGGACAACGACGTTTATAATCAAAACTGTGCTTCGATCTTCAAAGGCGCATGGTGGTACACAAAATGCCATTCTTCTAACCTGAATGGGCACTACTACAACGGACCGCACGACTCCTATGCTGATGGTGTGAATTATCAGCAGTTCAGAGGGTACCATTACTCGCTTCCATTCACTGAGATGAAGATACGCCCATCTGATTTTTGAAATTATTATGCTCTGTACTGTATACTTTCAATACGAAAAATTAAATAGGCACTTGCTCTGTGTTGCGAAACAACCCTATTTTTAATCATTAATATCCAATTATGTTTTCTTCAAACCTGATGTTGTCTCATACTAAACGTTGCACCCCCCTCCCCCATCTCAAAAACCATCCCTGGCCTTTCAGTTAAATATTTTAATATTTATATTAAAATACTGCTATGGCTATATCATTAAAGCTCCCTTTTAAGCCACAGTATAATATTAGTATATCATGCGTCCACTCTTTTTTATTTCTGCAGAATGCCTAACGATAAAATATCAAGCAAGATTCTGCTACGATTTTGTGGCCTTATTTAGAATTCAAATCGGTTTAAACTGAGACTCTTCGAGGCAAAAACTGCTACATGTATTTTATGCTTGATGAAATAAAGTTATGAAAAGTAATTGTACATGATAACCACTGGTCTTCGTGTGCCTTCACCCAGCTTTATGAGGCCTTTTGAATCACTTGAATAGCTGTCTTGGTTATAGAGAAAATCCCAATACCGAAAACGGCATTTTTCCCCTCAAATTGGCGCCAGAGCGTCATCCGTTGGACACTGTACTTAATCCCCGTCTTTAATTGGCCTTTTGGGAAGTTTGTTTTAATTTTTTATAAAAACTTATAAGCCCAGGGCTTTGTTTCTATGACTTTGGTCCTTTTACTATTAGTGGCCTTAAAACATCTCCATCCTACAAACACAATGCACCACATGTAGTTGCTGAAACACGTTTTATATTCTGCAATCAAAGAAATTCATACGAGGGTTTAAATAACACAAAATTAAAGATGGTGTGTATCTATGTCAATTCAGATTGAATCTGATTCTGATATTAAACATAAAGCGCTATTTTTTCTTTAAACGTCTTTTAATAAGGTGGACTTCGCTTCAAGCGACAAAGTGGTCTAAAAAAGTAAAGTAGGTCTTAAAGACTTCGACTTCATGTGACTATATGTGTCACGAAAATTAAACATTGAGCCTAGCAAAGACTGCTAGAAATTGTAGCCGACAAGTTATCTTTTTTCTTTAAGAGGAGTGGAGCGGCGGATCTTAATATATTCTATGACTTCCTATACATTTTAAAGTGTGTGAATAAAATGGATTATGCAACCAGTGTTATAATGAAGAAGGATATAAAAATTGTTGATGGGTTGCTTAATTTACACAAAATGTACACGTAAATCGCATTCCTTTTGGGGAAAAAAATTGTCGGTGCTTTTGCTTTTTTAAACGGAAAGCAACCCACCTGTCACTCATCTATGTGTTTTAACGACACCCTCCTCTTGGGACTCTGCTGCCTCTGTTCATTTGCTGCCCATGGCTCGTGGTAACAAAGGCTACTCAAAATTAAAACCATCCAGATGTAAACTGCAATGAGTATCATCATATGCTCTTCCACACTTAATCTCGGTGTACTATAATAATAATAGCAAAATGATAATTAAAATATCTGACGTCAGGACTTTAGCCAGTAATTTCCAAAGGAGGAGGGGGATTTATTAATTTTTTTCAAAAAGTGGACCTTTTACCACGAAACCTTTGTGTACGGGTACCTAGAATTTGCCTGGAGGGGTCCTTTCCAGGCACAAAGGGCAGCGGCGGACTCAGAGGGGGTTCAGGGGGGTCCTTACTCCCCGTTCGGTTTCTGAAAAATATATCACATCAATATTCCCCTATTGAAATTAGAATTCTGACTTGCTGAATCATACTTATAAACCGCAGCAAAGGCACTGCTTGCTCTCCTAACCAATAAAAAATGTCTCGGGCCATTGAGCAGGCTCCGAACCCCACGCTAAGGGGGCAATGGTCGGCTTCGCATCCGAGGCCTGTCGTTCCGGACCCCCTCCCCCTTCAAATAATCCTGGGTCCGCCGCTGAAGGGGGGGGGGGGTTCTT